TCAGCTCCAAACCAAGAAACCGAGAGTCGGCCCACGTCAGAGCCACCATCGCAAAGAATGAAAGATGACCTAATAACACCTTGTCCTACAACCAGAGGCTTTGGAATGGCAAGCTCTGTTAGCTGGTGCGAAAACCTCTTACCCTAAACAAGTTTCTCAAGAGTCTACACATGACCTAGACCAGTGTTTTTCAACCTTTTTTGTGCAAAGGCACACTTTTTTCATGAAAAAAATCACGAGGCACACCACCATTAGAAAATGTTAAAAAAATTTAACTCTGTGCCTATATTGACTATATATAAAGTAATTCTCTTGAATTTCCCACGGCACACCTTATACTATGTCACGGCACACTAGTGTGCCGCGGCACAGTGGTTGAAAAACACTGTGCTAGATGACAGCATTTATGAGAAAAGATCTGTAGAGCACTCACTCCTGAAGGACAGGCAGGCAAATAACCTAAGGCAGAGGTGTTGCTGCATGTTACCTGGTCCTGTGCCATTTAGGGTTTTAGAGTTAATAATAATACCTTGAGTCCCCCCACCCCAAAAAACTTATCAAAGATACCCCTGGTTTTGCTGCTGGTATAAAGTTTTTCTTTTTCTTTTCCTTTTCTCCCATCCTTGTAAGGTAGATTGGAGACTAATTTTTGTTTGAGTGAGAGGAACCATTACTTTAACTGTGACTTTTAAGTGAACCCTGCCCATTACTGACAAATACCTTCAGTATATAAACATCATTATGAAATAGTTTTGAACAATAGACATCTTGATTGTAAATTTGACCTAATTTTTAAACTGTTTAAATACTCCATTGTGAAGAGTTCTAGAGAACGTAAAAACTTGTAAACTGCTTCAGAACATTTGCGCTATCTTAATAAAGGTATAATCCAATTGTTAAATTTGGATTTTTAGTGTAATTTTGCAGTTCATAATCTAAACCACAAGAGGACACCAAACAAGTATGCAGTAACTGGAACTAATACTGTACAATACATAGTCCTCTTGACACAGTAAAAATAAGAAATCCAGGTAAGATTATAATGACTAAGATTTGCAAGTTGTGACCTCAGCACTGCATATTCAGTACAATTTCACAAAATAAAAATTTGAAAAACCATGTAAAAATAATCATGTAAAATCAGCTAAATCTTAGTTTAAAACAAATAGGTACAACATACAGTAAGTAGTAAGAAAGCCAGTTTGGGCAGCAGTTAAGGCATCAAGCTAGAAACCAGAGATGGTGGCTTCTAGGATGCAATGTTGCAAATTTCAGTGGCTATCAAAAAGTTATGCTTTATATTTATTTATTTATTTATTTATTTATTTATTATCAAAATTTATATGCCGCCCAATCCCGAAGGACTCCGGGCGGCTTACAAAAAAAGGGGATAGTACGAAAAACTGCAAGAGGAAATTAGGGAATGAAATATACTATGCTATAAAAGGGCATGCCTTTCTGGTTGGAGAAGCTCCTGCAAAGTTTTTTTCCCACAGGTTCCACTATTTAAGGATAGAAATATAAAATGAGAGAAGTAAAATAATAAAAGAAACAATTTAAATTACAGGGAAAGTGATGCAGTATTTCTGCTTGCATATTGATCTGTCTGAGACTAAATCAGTGTTTTTGAACCTCAGCAATTTTAAGATGTGTGAACTTCCCAGAATTTGTTGAGGAACTCTGCGAGTTGAAATCCACATATCTTAAAAGTTGATGTACTAGGGTAAGACCATTGTATATTAAAATATAAGCAAAATTATTTTATTTGTACTGTAACAAAACAGGTAACAGAATAGTTGTTCTTTTCCCATTCTCTGATGAGCTGCATTATCCTTTAGTCTAGCATTTCTCAAACTCAACAATCTTACCGCTAGCAAGGGAAATAATTTTCCCCATCACTTTGGTTCCTCTCTGTGCCCCAAAGCATTAAATCACAAGTTATATTTTTGTTGGGAAGTCAGGAATTTTGTATTTGAGTTATTCATAGATTCTTAGGTGGCTATTACCATAATTAGGACCATCTTAGTGTAGTATTGTTTTTCTATTGCTAGTGTTGCATTTGCAAAACATACTCATGATCATGGTCACAAGTGAAACTTTTGCTTTGGCACAACATAGTAAAACTAATAACTAACCACATGGCCCACAAGAGGCTAAAATGTGATTGGTCAGTTTGTTTGGCTGCATCATGCAAAAATTGATAAACTGTCACGCCCTCATTAAATTCAAAGACAGACCGAACTGTGATGGTGGGAATCGGAGGGTAATATTCCTATAATGCAGAGCAACCTCAGAGACTAGCCTAGCTTTGCCTTTGCCTACGTGGCTCGCGAGCATCCGAAAGCGAGCAAGTATCTCGTGACTAGGACGCTCCACGGCAGAGATTTCCGCGTGACGAGGGGCGTGTCATCCCGGGAGCCAGGAGGCCGGAGAAGCTTCGCAACGTTCCCTTGGCAACGATGGCACCGCCGGCCGACTCTCCAGAAAAAAAAAAGTCTGTTGGGCCGTCTGGTCCCCGCCCCTATTGGCGATCATGTGACACATGGCTTTGGCCGCTGTTTGCCGACAGCTTCCGGGAAGAGCCGAATTCCGAGGGAACTGCAGGAGAGCGGGCTAAACCGGGTTCAGGTGGGCTCTTCAACCGGTAACGGTCCGTTGGGACGATGTTGACCAACAACGTCGGTTACAACGAGCAGGCCGGAGATGGTCAGCCTGAGGTGGGCCAAGAGGCGGCACCCACTACAGCCTCCACCGCTCCTCCGGGGGCCTTCGGGCTCTTCAGTAGCGATGGCAAGAAGTAAGTTAAAGGGCGGCCGCAGGGGCGGAGGTGGGGGAGCCTTCGGACCGGTCAGAGACCCGGGCGGGGGCGGTTAGGTTAGCTTCTCTGCAGGCGGCGACGGGAAGTGCAGGCGTCGCGTTCTCCGAAAAGAGCAGAAGCGGAATCAGCGCTGCTCGCTCTTCCCTCTGGGCCACTTTAGGGGGCTGATGAGAAGCTGCGCGCTTCCAGTTTCGGGTCTCGGTGACTCCCATTTGATAGGTCGCTAAGCGGGAAAGTGCTAGACGTTGTGCGACTCTTGAATTTAGTAATAATAACTTGAATTTAGTAATAATTTCCCCTCGTGTTTTGTACTTCGCTGACCCATCACTTCTACCTGTGATTTTTCCTTTTTACTTGTCTTGAATTTTCGAATGGGGGGGAAAGTTAATGATGAATGTTCTTCCCCTACTAACACGGAAACACACCTTTCAATAAATGTTGCATGATCGTCCACAGGATCCTTAATGGAATGGGCTTTTCCACGTGCCTCTTGATTTTTCTGCTCTATTTAAAGTACGCTTTAAAAAAATAAAAGTTCAGAGAAAGATTAAACTAGTTGCTTTACGGCTTGATGGTGATAAGAGTTACTAAGATTTTCTTTTTAGAAATGCATGTGCTAGGAGAATTTGAAAGATTTACAATCAGAAAAATGAAGTTAAATTTGGGTAGTGATGGTGGGATCACACATAGGACTATTTCCTAATTGGCTTTATTTTCCAGTTGGGGTTGATTCCTGTGAAAGGACTTGACAGCCTCTGGTTACTTTTTATTACATTACCATTCCTTCCTTTTGGCATATGCTAATATAAATTATTTTTAGCATTTCAGTTTCGACAATGGGGCATATAATGTGCTTTTGTTTCTGATTTATTTGAAGAGGTAAAATTCTTTTCTTAGAAATTATCACATGAAGATTATTTCATTATATTCTATTATGTAGTTCTTTAGAACTATTGTTCTAAAGACTATAGTTTATTAAAATCTGATCTCTGGTAATATTACTCTTAACTTTTCAGACTTGCCAGTAAGTTTAATCATTTCCCACTAGTTTCCCAAGTAACCCTAAATTTATTTTGTTTGGATTATAGTTTTAATAATGCTTATGTGCATATATTTGGGTAGTTTGTGATCTCAGTTTATTGAATAATTTTTACTATAAAGGTTTTAGTTGTGACAGTAAATCTAACAATAATTTACTTTTAGTTCATAATCTGGTATATAACAGCTTGTTTTCATAATTAATGTAAAATATAGTTCTTTAAGATGGGATGTGCTTCATAGCCTTCTATACAAATGGGCTAGAAGTGACAGTTGAGTGTTTTATTTTAAAATGGTATATCATATATTTATTTTATTTATATTGCTATTTATAAAGTTGTAAGATTATACAGCATTCATCCAAATACTAATCATCTAGTTTTTTTAAAAAAACAACAATATTATCTATAGTTTTCTAGATATCTTTAAGGGAAACCAGATTTTGCTAAAAGTTTCCTTTCCAAAGTTTTCCATCTAAAGGTTAAAATTACATAATCCCTTAATTTGGGGAAGAGTTGGAACAACAGGATGGACATGAACGTTTACTGGCCAGATGCCATTCCTGACGCAGCAGATATTTTTTTCTTTCTGCCCTAGAAGAGAAACATCTGCTACTTCCTAGGATTGAACTCTCAACCTTCTGAATGGGAAGCAAATATCTTTACCACTAGGCCACAATGCTGCTATAAATGTATACCAAGTCTCCAAGGCTAGTTTCTACTTTTTAAGTGGAAAAAGTGGAGAAATTGGTAATGCACACACTTTCAATTTGCTTATAATTTTTCAGGTTTTTAAAATTATTTTTGGAAGATTTGTGTGGAATTCAGGAGTATCTTATCATTTACATAAATAATGGTTTTTCTGAATTTTTTTCCAGCTCGTAATCCAGGACTTCATGGATAGGCTTATGAATTTTACTTGGCAACAATATAGGATGTTCTTCTAACTTCTTGTTCTAGTCTATATCTCTAGAATCCCCTACTATTCTTTCATTGTGGTTTAATCTCTACAGTACTCTTCTTCTAAGCCCTGATAAGAATAGCCAAGTGCTACTGTCTACTAAGATGTTGAATAGATGTCAAAATTTTTGAAAATACTTAACTTGACTCTGTTGGCATGTCACCCCTTCCCCCTCCCAAAAAAGAGAATCAATTATCAATCTTCCCCCCTCCCAATCTAGGCCACCTTGAACAATGGCACTCAGTGGCAACGCTGAAGATTGGCCTGAAGTCGAGCCTTGGACCTCAGCTTTAGCCAAGCACCACCACTACCACTTAAAAAGGGCACCATGCCATTTCTCAACCTGTGCAAGCCTTGGGAAAGGTATGATTATCCCAGTGGCCTAGCACTGTCCCAAACTTGCCACACACTGCTTATTTTCAGACAATGCTTTCTTCTTATTAAGAGGCCCCTGTAGTCTATCTGAAGCTACTCCAGGTCACAGAAGGCCTTCATTTTTCAAGCGGCTTATGGCCTCTGCAGCCTCTGAAAACTGCATGAAAGTATGCCCCCTTCTTATGCAATTTTTGGAAGGTCTGGAGGCCACACCCATTCTTGCCCAGCCCATTCTCTTGACTTTCTGAGGTCCTGGGAAAGCACACTTTCTGAGATCCTGGGAAAGCACACTCCATTCTCACATGGCCTCTCCAAATCCTGCGAGAAGGGGACATATTTTCAAGAATAGTTGTCATGTCATGTCAATAAATATTATGTCTTCCAAAATATTGTGGCATTTCAAAGGTTCACCATCACTGGTCTAGTGGTTAAAGCACCAGACTAGAACCTGGGAAATGGTGAGTTCTACTCATTCCTTATGCATGAAAGCTGGGCTAATGGACATCACAGGGTTGTTGTGGAGAAAAGATGAGGAGGAAGGGTATCAGCTATGTGTGGCTTCTTGATAAAGGCAGGATAAAAATAATGTGTAATATGGTCAACATGAGCTTTATGATTCTTATACTTTTAAAATAGCACAAAGCAATCCTTTGTCTAGTTTATATGATTAGAATATCTCTGGGAAAATCTGTGTAATGTTGATTTTTTTAAAAAATAATAATTTTATATAGAACCTTGTATATGCCATTGTAAATAAAAGAGTTTATCAGAGCTGTTACTAATCCAGCAGATGGCCATCTTGATTAAGCTCTGTGAGCACATGCTTTTTTCATTTTTTTATTTCTTCATAATAAAATGATTTTTCCTTATTTTTGTTTATGTTTATAGCTGTCCTTCCACAAGGCATTAGTGGCAATATATAATATTTTGATGGCAATGTAAAAAATTCTTAAAAGTTTGATATTCTGAATGCAGTGTAATAATGATGAAGCTCATTTCTCTCTATGAAGTAGGTGTTGCAATAGGGCCTTTTAAAAAGCTACAACCATTAATTTAACCAATCTGGGAAAGGTAGGACCTATGATGATTTCAAATGAGAGGAAAATGAATATGGGAAAAGGTAATTTTACAGTGGGAACTTCCAAGTGTGACAAGGAAAAATTGGAAATTATTGTAATATATCCAAGATTTGTGTTCATATGAGCTGTTTTCAACAACTAGATAGTAGTCTTGCCATTGTATTCTGCAGTAGCTGATTTTATGTACTGTTTTGAAGTGCAGCCCCATATAGAGTGTATCATGCTTATCTGTTAAGTAGATTAAACTATTAATATAGTATTTAGTCAAATGTCAAAATTTGGAGACAGGGAAAAGATAAAAGACAAAGTTTCCTTTTAGTTGAACTGACGCAATCTTCATGGGCATGTCTGTGCTGGGTTTTAACAAAGTGGTTTGTTATTGCCTTTTTCTGCTACGTATTTTGCTTTCTCAGTTTAAATATGTTAAATATGTTTTAAATATATAAATGTTCCAGTTAGCGAAAGAATAATATAATTCAGCCATAGGCATCTTTAGAATAGATTCTTCTTCCTAAGCACAATATGTTTACATTGGTAGGGCTATTTTTAACTGAGAAATGTACTTGGTATTGATGTTTCTTTGGTTTTACAAAGGACATTTTCATGGAAAATTCATTGGATATGTTGATTTTATATATAATGTTCTTGATTTTTCTGTGTAGAAGAAAATTGCAGATTAATGCAGAAACTTTATTTATATAAACAATTTATATAATTCTGGAATGATTTAATGTTGAATCAGCATATTCCATTCAAAAGACTTGGAAAGATTGGAAGTGAATGGGTGAATTTATTGCAGAGAACTCCAGATTTAATATTTAAATTTCATGCATATATTGCTTCATTGGCATGACTACAGTCTAGGCCCATCTGTTAGAGTGGCAGTGTGCCTGCTGCTATAGAGTTATGCCAGTTTCATTAAATACTTGAGCCAGGAAAGATGAATGGTTTGGATGAAGTATTCTATAAAATAAGTCCAAAATGAGATTTGAGCTATTAAATCCACATAGTGTTATCTGATGCTCAGTCTGTGACATAATAATAAGTAGCATAAAAATTCTTGGTTGTGATCTGACAGGTGGCATGAGAATAAAGTATGTGGCTTAGACAAGTTTGTAGTAGAATGAAATAGAATAAAGCCACTGACTGGAAGAGTAATGGATCCGTGGTAGTGTAAATGTTGCTGAATTTCCCAGTTTCTATTACTTCTCTTTTAAAGACAAATGTCAGAGACAATTAAGGTTGTCAAAAGTCTTGAATGCTACAAGTTTTATATTTTTGGCTTGTAAGTAGTTGTATACTTTTATTACCTCCATTGTTGTTTCAATATTCAATATAACATTTACACAGATTTTATACACATATGGAGTTTATGTTATATAGACTCAACCTACACCTAAAATTGATTTGTCTATTGCCCTGTATAAACACAGCCAATGTATGAAAGCCTGGACACAGAGTTAGCATAAGCTAGTAGTTAGGACTTAGCAGAAAAATTTAATTTGATCCCACCATTATTCATAATTG